AATAAAAATAAATTATTAATTAAAATAAAATAATTAAATATAATTAATAGAACACGTATAAAAATTTTCAATAAAAAGATTGAAATAAAATAATTTTTACCGGCACTCGGAGAACCTCTAAATATAGTGTTGAAATAAATAGCCGCCGTGTTCATTGATAACGATCACGACGTGATGAGAAATCACAAATTGGCCGTTGCACGTTACACAAGGCTCCATCAGGAGAACTTATTTGTATTGCTAAAACATTGTGGTGACCGATTGTACAGTAAAAAACTTTTTTTATAAGAACAATCATGTGATAAATTCAATTCTTATTCAAATCGCGTATTAAAATTTCCACCCGTCAGTAGATACATCTTAAGAATGTATATAAATTTTTATTTGTTTTTATTTAAACAGTATACTCATGAAAGTAAAATGATTCAAATTTTTTCTGCAATTTAATACCAGCATCAGTACAAGGTATATTTTTTTACTCGTACTTGAAAAATGTGTACGTCATTGAAAAATTCCAATTTCCCAATTAATTCTTATCACATTTAACTTCAGGATCCTTCTAGAGATAGATCGTAATCAAATTGAAACGTATAACGATAAGAGATGTATACCTACAATATGATCAAAAAATGACCATAAAAAAATTAATGAACCCGCTTATATCCAAAAAAGAGTGTGCAAAATATTGTGATACACTCTGTTCGATTTTGGATATCACCATTAGAACTGACAAGCCGACAAAAAAAAAAAAAAAAAAAAAAAAATAGATATACGCTGGTTCAAAGATAAGAGCGAACAAATTTATCGGACGAAAAATTCCTGAATTACAAGTCACGCACAAAGCAAATTCGTGACGTTTATGAATTAACAAAACGATTACAACGTACTCCAAGTGGAACGCATACTAATACAGTATTAAATTTGTTCACACCCGAGGTAAAAATTTGGGGAATCCCGTACCTACCCCTACTTAACGAAGGGTTTACCAGTCACCACTTACACATATTCTGACAACAGAAAAGACTTATTCATCCATTGTACAAAGTATGCGGGAATATTAACAGAGAATTCAAGCAATCCTAGATTAATTGGCCAAAAACCCACGTCCACTCTCCGACCAACCGGCAAACTGCACCTGTCCGGCGTGAATAGTCACAGCCACCCCTGCCCACAGCCCAAAACGATCACACCGCACACACATCGACAGAAAAAAAAAATCCGTGGGGGTAAACTCCGTGTACCTCTGTGGCTTGGTGTGCTTTTCGACAGGCTCGGAAACCTGCTCGAGCATCGGCTCGCCGGATATGGCCATGCGCTTGAGCCTCTGGGCCGGATTGAGCGGTACATCCCGGACAACCCCGAGCTCCACGATCTGCCGGAACTTGTCGATCTCGTTCCTCAACCCGCGTATCTCGCAGTCGCGCTCCTCGATCGCCTTCTCCAGCATCTCGATCGCCTCGTTCTTCTGCCTCAGAGCTTCCGTGCTCTCGTAGAGCAGCCTCTTCAAATCGTGTATCGAATCCATCTTTTTCTCTCTCTCTCCCTCGTTTTTCCCCCAAAGAGAAACCTCGAGCCGATCCGCTCTTGTTTACTCACGCACCATCCAGGCACTTTTGTAAAAAAAAAAAAAAAAAAGAATTGTATCGATTGGGAGAGCGCGTATACGCAATCACAGCACCATCGCGGCCGGGTCTAAAATGCACTCCCGTGCACCTGTGTCAACCAAAGGCTGGAGACCGAAACGTAGTTGACGGCGGTCGGCGACGCACAAACGGGAGCGCCCAGAGGCACTCTGGTTTTTATCTCCTCCTCCTCCTCCTCTTAACGTGCTCCCTGCAGCACGTGCGGGTGCGTATGTGTCAAAGCTCCGAGTACCTATATACGGCGGACTAGGCTGTGTGTACCTTTGCCGCGTAACTGTCGGTGGGGGGAGAGGTCCCACACCACCACCGTGTAGAGTGCGTGGAAGGGTCCCCGTGAGACGAAAAAAAAAGGAAAAAAAAAAGCAACAAAAAAAATTAGCGCTCGCGGCAACGACGTTTCTATTTTTAAGGTCACCCGTGCGCGCAGCTTCCTTTCACCGTGTGGACACGCACTCGCGACGCCCTACATGACGCAACGCCGGGCGCGACTCGGCCAGAAGAACCCCTTGGGCGGTTTTTTTTTTTTCCCCTCTTTAACTGGCAGTCAACGCGTACTGTACATATTGTATCTTACGGAGCCAAAGTGGAGCGCGCGCGAAAAGTACACACGTGCCCAGGGGGGCCATTGGTTCTAGAATAAGTTTTTCGCTCGTGTATAGACTCAATTTTTTTTTTTTTTTTTTTTTTCTCCTCTTCCTTTCACACTCGTGTATACAGGTATGATATTTTTCGAAAGCCACCAAGATCCCCCGGTAACCTTGCTCCCGGGACACCCGTGGACATCATAAATGCCCAAGCGTATGCGTGCCCCCACGTCTCCTTGACGTCAAAGCTGAGAAAATGTTATCGTACCGACCACCCACGCCCCTATATCACCATAGCCGTCGCCTCTATTTACTGTCTCTTTTCTCCCGCGTACCTATCGGCCTGCCTTTGCCGAATAGTATTTGCGAATATCCAGCCGGGCCAAGTGTACGCTTATAATACGGCCGTGATGGCTATGAAAATCTGTGCAAGCAAATACGAGGCGAATCTTGAGCCAGGCCAGCTTTCCGCGTTTAATTTCGTAACGGGTGCCACGAGCTCCGCGTGTTTTTCCATCAACAAATATGTCGCCGCCGATCCCCTCCCCGAGTGTTTATTTGTTTGTTGGCGCGTGTTCTACGGTTAAGTATAAGGAGTTGCGAGGTGCATTGGATGAGGTTTTCGGATCCTTTCGTCGG